CGGACACGCTGAGGAAGAGAAGAGAGGGGTGGTGGGGTGGAGAGGAACAGGAGATAAATTTTCAGATCATTGGGTTTCAAAAGCATCTCCCCGATGTCGGGGCGCCGTCCCCGCCGCTGCCTCGCAACATCGGCAGCTAGAAAAAACCGAGCCGAACATCCTCTGCATACATATATGACTGTTGCCACACATATTTCGGGCCCGTGTCGCTTTCGTCGCTGCGCTGTACCGGGCCGGCCTGGTGACGCGCTTGGGACCAGACGATGTGATGATCATGTCGGACCGGGTACACCCGTGGGCGCCCGGGTGCTGCAGACCAAGTGGTAATGGGACTATTCTGCCCCGCACCCCTCCTCCCTCTACAACCCCCCGCAGCGCAGCGCTCATCAGGTTCACGGTCTTTATTGCTAATAACACCTATTTCCCCGCACGGTGACAGCAGCGCCCAGCGGGAGGGAGGAGTGAGGAGGAGGCGTCAGAGGGAGAGCTTGGGAGGAGGGGGGAGGAGCCCCAGTGGAGCACTCCTAGCAGCTGCGGCACCTGCTCCTAGACCAAGACCAATGACGGATATTTTAATAATTTGTACAACAACCCGTTGATACGTGCGAGCTGTCCTCTGTGCTGACTCGCTGACTTGCATTAACTTGCGCTTAAGGCTATTGGACTACAGGCATGCCTGCGTGCTGCAAAATAGAATCGTATAGTTCGTCTGTCGTGCAGCTGTCAACAACAAGATCCAGATTTAGTTTATCGGTGCGAAAATGAGAAAATAGCTCGGACAATAGATTATATCGACCCACTAGCCTACTACTGGGACGATAGTAAAGAGCGATAGTCCTTGGCCTCTGGCTGACAACAAATGCATCACTATTAGCCTATCACCGTATAGCACCTACGCTTGGTTGAAAAAAGATGAAAGATAATTTCAGTACTATGTGAGACACTTTGATGTGACTATGATGTGCACGGCCGCTGGCCGCTCTGACGTCTCACCCACATCTGTCCGACCCGAGCCGAACACCTCCTCGCCTCGCCACAGACGAGGAGGGAGTTACGGGGCGCGCGCGATGAAAGTGGAATCGAACGAATGAGACTGGCTGAGTTATAATGGTGGGGCGAGTGCCGCCGCGGGCGGGGCGGGCCGGGCCGGGCCGGGCCGTGGGGACAACATCTCGTATTTCGTTCCGTCCGAATTTTACTCTGATGTCGGTGTTCGGGGCGGTGCAAAGGGACAGGGAGAGAGAGAGAGAGAGAGAGTGTGTATTGCAAGCAGCAGCAATGATGAAGATCTGTTGTTTTGTTGTTGTTGTTTTCTGAGTTTTACAGAGTTTGATCCCTTTCAAAGGAGCCGCCCTGCACTGAGAGGAGGGCGTGGTGAGGTGTGGTGAGATGTGGCGCGGGGCAGGGCAGGCCGGGCCAGCAAACAACCCTATGAATAACTGAGGACCGCCCTTGCCTCATAAAGTCATCCTCATACGTCGCCCTGTCGAACTTGGAATCGAAACGAGCGAAATAACGAATCGAATGATTCCTGAACGTCGTGAATGTATGTTTTCTCGATGCCTCAGGGCTCGCAG